TCATGTAATCTACCATTAAGATGCTCCTTATCTGGCATTACAAAACTGCGCCAGTGGCAGTGGCCTCAGTGAGAAGGTGACTGGGACGAGCTCCTTTCTGTCCTTCTGCATGTTTTCCCGTCTCTGTCTGCACCACATCCCTGTCCCCTGCCAGGACCCCCTAGGTTTGCAGCCTGGCAGGAGGCAGCTGGATGTCCATATAGCTCATCCCTCTGGGCAAGTCTCTTTGGGCCCATCCTAAAGGCTCAACTGGGCTGTCAGGACACGAGGATTTCCAGGAAAATCCCTTGTTTTTGCAGTGGCTGAAGTTTTTATGCTGGGTTCCTCTCCCTGGGCTGCTGTGGCTTTGTCCTCTCTGGCACAGGGCTTTGATCCCAGCTCCAGGAGCACCTTGGTGGGATCATCACATCTCTGTGCACCACAGCAAAAGAAACCATCTCCTCCCAGTTGAGCCTTCTCATGGCCAGTGGGTCTGGCCCTGGCAGGGGAGTGAGATGATAGGGACAGGGACAGGTGGTGGTCCTTTGCACCCTGTGATGGCTCTTTTCCCATGCCAGTACTTCCAACTCTGTGTGGATATTTGCAGTCACGGCTGAGGTCGCTGCCATTCAGAGCTGATAAAGGCAGCAGTGCAGAGGTGGGTGTTTAAAGGCCATTTTTTCACACCAGTTACTTTTTCATTTTCAAAGCAAGCTCCCCTGTCTTGAGCTCGCAGTTGTCTCTTGAATAATGTGTTGGCATTAATCTCCTCTCTAAGGACATGCTTAGCTCAGTGGTTTTAGATCTGTAGCCCTCTAAATATTACCAGCGAGTGAAGGGGATTCCCTCTAGAGGGAACTTAAACCTATTAATAATAATTTGACTGCCTTTTGTGCATCTTTTACAGGTAGTGCTGATTTCCAGGGCTGCAGGGCACCGGTTGGTGCTCACTGGGGATGCTGACAAGGGTGTGTGAGGTGTGGGAGAGGCAGTAGGCATGGTGGGATGAGCACTGTCATCCTGTGGAGGACCTGGGTCACGGCCTGGCTGAATTTAGACCTTCCAGTAGCAATTTGCCTTCAGATGTCTGAGTGGCAGATGAAGTAGATGTGTCTGGAAGCCTGAGCTGGCCACATCCCCCTTGGTGGTCGAATACAGGAAGGGAAGTGTTGGAGCGACAAGGAAGGATTGCAAATTGCTGAGCTGTGCGATGCAATTCAGCATCCTGCTCTAAATCCTCCTCCATCCTTGCTTAACCCCCAGGACAGGCTTGCATGGAGAAGTGGAGCTGGCATGGTGGTGACAGGGTGATTACCCAGTGGATCTCTCCCTGCAACGATGAGGAGTGATGAGCAGGAGTGGCCACTGAAAGGTGCTGCCAGGAGAGGACCAGGATCACCTATCTAGCTAAGGTGTTTAGGATGTGGCTTCCTATCTGTGGGTTGAATGTTGGAGGTCTGTGAGCTACTAGAGTCAGGGGTTGGGGTTCTTGCACAAAGTCTTGTGATGTCTTCTCTATGAAGGTGAATGCTTGCTCCCTCCCTTGCAGCCCTTTCCAAAGTGGTGCAAGGGAAATGCATGAGCAATTTTTTGCTGCCTCACACCCGTGGTTTTGAGCTCAGCTCCCATCGTTGGGCTGCGGAGTTGGGACAGTTGATTTATCCAACAGATGGGACTTGTGAACTGCCTGATCTTCACTGCTTGCACCTGTGGCCAGACCTATTACACCCCCCAATAAATCAAACCCTGCAGTGATTGTCTGCAGGGATCACTGGCCCTTCCCTCTTCTCCGGATCTGCTTGCACTTCCTTGATTATATTTAATCCTCCCATTGCATCCCTGCAAAATCTCACTGGAGGTTAAAGGAGGAGCTCTGCAAGCCACTAACAGAGATGGTTTCATCCCCTCTCATCTCCTCTAGTGCCCCTTTGGCTTTCTATGGTGTAGTGGTTCCCTGTTGTAGCAAATAACTCTGGACAGGGGGAAACCACAGCCCCCAAACCGCACTGAGAGTAGATTATAAAAACTTTTCAACTGTTTTCCCCTTACTGCTGCAGCTCTCTTATATTTGAAGTGCTGATAGTAAAAGGTTTCCCTGTCCACTGGTTGTGATCCCTGCCTGTCCTGGGGTTGGATCTGGCTCCACAGGGTGCTCTGGGCTCCCAGCCATGCCAGGGAAGCCGCTCAGATCCTGATTGTGTTTGTCAGGGCGGATGGATTAAGAGCACTGTGGCTAAGCCTGCTCGTCGAGCCTCCTCTCCAGTGGAGTCTGAGCTGGCGCATTGCTCATAAACCCACCAGAAAAGAGCGTTTTCCAGGGCTCTTTTTGCCGAGCTCCTCGACATGCAGCTGTGGCTGAGCACTCACCTGGGTGCTGGGAGCCTGCCAGCACTATGTAGTGTTTCTGGGGGCCTGAGGTCTGTGTGTGGGACTTGGGCTGACATTTCCAGCTGGTGCCTTTTAAATAACTACCGTGGGTTTAAAAGGCACCTGAGCAGCTTCTAAAAATCAGGTTAAAAGGAAGTTTGATCCTGGCTGTCACCTTGCCAGCTCTTGTGGTTTTTTTCTGCTTTGCCATCATGTTTCCCTTTTTGTTTTAGAAAAGCTGTTGGTTTCAAGGACTTCTTTTGTGTTCTTGGACCTAAACCTGCTCCCTTCTCTGGCAAGGAGCTGTCGGCTCTCCCACCACTGCCAGGGATGCGCAGGGGTTTGCTGAGCAGGATGCAGCCAGCACCCACTTGCACCAGGAAAGCCGTGAGTAGGAGCATCTCCACCCTGTTGCATTGCCCCAAACCCTTCGGCATCCTCCCCGTGGAGAGTTTGCTGCAGCAGCTAACCGGCAGAGCAGGATTCTTGCTTGCTTCCTGCTGCCAGCAGTGGCGGTGTGGGGCGGGATGCTTCCTGCCCCCAGCCCTGCTCACACCTGGCTGCTCCAGGGGTCCAGCACTGGCCCCCAGCCCAGGCAGGCTTTGACGTGGCTGACTGGAGAGAGTCAGCTGGTGTCTGCCTGGAGATGCTGTCTCCAAAGCCTGCTCGTTAAGTACCGTAATTAAAAGCTCTTAGAAGAAGATGGACTAATGAAGCACCCTTGGAAATGGGAGGTGATATAGGTGCAGAGTCCTGTTTCCCTCTGCTCTGTCTTGGGGAGAGTGGTGTGAGAATGGACACACGGTCCTGCCCATCAGCTACCAGCTCTGGCTCTTGCCATTGAAGCTGCTGGCTGTCTCGTGTCTGCTCAGCACCAGGAATGTGGCTGCCAGCACCCACCGCTCCTGATAGATGAAAGAAACGGAGGGGAGAGCAGGATAATATGGACCTGGCTTTCTGCATCCCTAGGGATGATATCCAGGCAGAGGAACCTCCCCCTAAAACCAGTGTTCCCATGTGCTTCTCTTTTTGGACCCAGAGAAACACTCTGCCCCAAAACCCTGTTGGGGCTGTTTTCCCAGGGATGCTAAAGATCCTGCCCTGCTGGAGGGGAGGAAGGAATGAGTTGAAACAGGCAGGACACACTTGGTGGGTCCAAGGAGAGAAGGTGCATCCTCACTTGGTCCTGCCTGGAGATCATCCATGTGCACAAAGATAAATTACAAATCAATAAACCCAGGTGCTCTGCCGTGCCCAGCACAGCAGCAGGGGTTGCCAGTGGATGGTGAAGGTGGTGATGGAGGAGGCTGATGGAGAATGGCTGTGGTGGCCCCTGTATGGGCCTGGCTGAAGCAACACCATTCTGACAGGGTTGGGAAGCAGGGCCTGGAGCAGGACTCGCTGCAGGGAAGGGCAGGGATGACAGGATTACCCTGCCAAGCCCCAGCCTGTAATCTGCAGTACCGCTCAGCCAGCCACATTTAATCCTGTTAGGAGCCCGGCTGGTGTCGGCGGGGAGGGTGCTCAGCTGCAGCGTTGGCAGGGCACAGGTTGCTCTCCCTGGGAGGAGCAAGAACTTCCCTGCCCTTGTCCCCAGCACTGGTGGTGAGTTTGGGAACAGGGCTGCAAGCCCCCATGCCAGCACTTTTTTTTCTTTAAACACATTGGCCGCATCAGCGTGTCCTCAGGGTGGCTTCACCTCCTGGCAAGCAGTGCTCATCCTTTGTCTTTTCTTTTTTTCAAATGGGGCTTTCACAGGGAGGGGAAAAATATTCCCAAGGTCC